AACTGGTTTAACTGGTTTAACTGGACACAGTGAGACTAAACCTGGTTTCACTTAGCTCACATGCTAGTGTTAGCTCATATGTTAGTGTTAGCTCAAATGCTAGTGTTAGCTCATATGTTAGTGTTAGCTCAGATGCTAGTGTTAGCTCAGATGTTAGTGTTAGCTCAGATGTTAGTGTTAGCTCAGATGCTAGTGTTAGCTCATATGTTAGTGTTAGCTCAGATGTTAGTGTTAGCTCAAATGCTAGTGTTAGCTCAAATGCTAGTGTTAGTTCAGATGCTAGTGTTAGCTCGGATGTTAGCATTAGTTCAGATGCTAGTGTTAGCTCAGATGCTAGTGTTAGCTCAGATGTTAGTATTAGCTCAGACGTTAGCGTTAGCTCAAATGCTAGCATTAGCTCAGATGTTAGCATTAGCTCAAATGCTAGCATTAGCTCAGATGCTAGTGTTAGCTCAGATGTTAGCGTTAGCTCAGATGTTAGTGTTAGCTCAAATGCTAGCATTAGCTCAGATGGTAGCATTAGCTCAGATGTTAGTGTTAGCTCAGATGGTAGCATTATCTCAGATGTTAGCATTAGCTCAGATGGTAGCATTAGCTAATCTAAGCTAACCTCACCTCCATTTTTGTTTATGTTTTTGTTGTTTTGTAACACAGAACTGCTTGAACGAACAGAACCGAGTCCAGACTCACGTCAGCTGCAGGAACCAGAGTGTGTGCCAGTGTGGAGATGTTCTCGTCTCTGTAGAGCCAGAACATGAGCAGCACACCCAGAGCCACGTCCACCAGAACTGACACCAGGATGTTAGCTTTCCTGCAGACAGACAGGTGTGTGTGTGAGTGTGTGGGGGGGGGCACCACCACCCAACAGCTGCCTTGTTTTAGTCTGAGACCACTGAGGTCAAACAGGAGCACAGACCCACCTCATGAACTCCATGTGACCTTCAGCTGCTCTGGGTGAGCTGAGCGTCCTCAGGTGTTGGATCCTGTAGCTGAGTTGGACACATGTGGACAGTTTGGAGGACAGGAAGCTCAGAGGGAAAACACTGAAGATCCTGCAGGAAAAGGACAGAATAAATGTTTACCTGTGGAGGAGGTCCTGAGATATTTCACTGTGAGGTTTGGAACATGTCACTGGTCCACACACCTCCTTCAAGCAGTCCGACTCCTCTCCTCTCCCACCCCACCACTGACCAGCTGCTGCCCACCCAAACCCAACATGTTTTATTAGAGCAGGGGTGCCCAAACATTTTCCCTGAGGGGGCCAAAATTAAAATCAATCTGAGRGCCACRGGCCAAATGCAATAATATCAGAAATTCTTAATACTTAAGTAAAGTTGTTTTATTTTTTATGATTAAGCTAGCAGCCAGTGTGGTTGCCCACATTCTGGTTTTTTTTTTTTCCAGCTCATAGACATGGAGAAAATTCAACGTATGCTCAGGCAGCAAAGGCTCATGGGACTTTTCATAATTTAAAATTTGAGTATATGTGGTCTTATAAGGTGTGCAAATCTATATACGGGCTTAAATCTAATCTAAATGTCTCTTGTAGTTACTTGTATTTTATATTTAATCTTAACATAATCACAATCTAATAACCAGGACAACTGCGGGTGGGCCAAATCAAATGGCTTGGCGGGCCAATTTTGGCCCACGGGCCCCACTTTGGGCACCTCTGTATTAGAGACTTTGCCCTGGCTCCACAGCTGGGGCTCCTGTTGGTATTCTGTTGACACAGTCAGGAGCTCGGTCATGTTTACTTTGTTTTTGTTTGTCTACATGTGAAGCAAACGTTCAGCTACAGCACAGATCTGATGAACAGCAGGGTTTATGGACCTGCTGTAAACACAGCAGGTCCTCAAGAAGGTCCCCACAGTGTAGACAAAATGTGTCCACATGTCCTGGCTTTGTGTGTGTGTGTGTGCTTGTTTCTACTACAGAGTGAGGACCATTTGCACCATAACTACTATCAAAGTGAGGTCTTTGATGAAAAGTGAGGACCTCTTCAGTGTCCTCACTTTGTTTGCAGCTCTGCTGTGTTTACTAGTTAGGTTTAGAGGGATGGTGTGAGTTAAGTTCTGGTTCAGGTTAGAGTTAACTTCAGATTCAAAGTGTTTATTGTCACATGCACAGATGAAAGACATGTTTCCCTGAGCAATGAAATTCTTAATTTGTCGTCCACTTTTGAATGCCAACAGACAACCATATTAAAAAAAGAAAGGCAGAGGTGAACTGCATACTGTCCATGCTGTGATCAAGTGTTTATTGATCGACTGATGATGCTTTTATTGTCTCTGTACAGAGCTGAATGAAAGGACTTTTTTATTTCATTCTGCTGCTGGCCTCTTTATGATTATTATTAACCTTATTATTATAATCATCATCAATATTATTATTATTATTATTATTATTATTATTATTATTAACCTTATTATTATCATCATCATCAATATTATTATTATTATTATTAAAACCAGGTCAGCAGCTTCAGAATAAATAAGTTTGTGTGGTCTCAGTAATCTAGACCTGGGCTCAGTAAAAGCTCCTGCAGATGATCTGCTGTATTCATCTTCTCACCTGATGTTGAAGATCCAGGTCCACACAGACAGAAACCAGCTGACCAAACAGCASACAGGAACCATGGCCCGTTTCAGCAGCTCCACAATAATGCTGGCCTCCCGGCCTTCAGACTGCCAGTGGGTCGTCTTCAACGGCCCATCATCATATTTGTCCAAGAAGAAGAGTGGTTCACTGCAAGCCACTGTCTGAAACATCTGAAAGAGAACAAGGAACCATCTGAAACATCTGAAAGAGAACAAGGAACCATCTGAAACATCTGTCAGGAGACAAGGAACCATCTGAAACATCTGAAACATCTGTCAGGAGACAAGGAACCATCTGAAACATCTGA